AGCGGTATCTTTTGGGACTGGGCATCCGCCATGCCCTAACGGCACCCTTTCATCCATCCAGCAACGGGCAAGCGGAAAGAATGGTGCGCTCGACAAAAGAGGCACTGGCGCGCCTGGACCGGGGAGACTGGCATGAGCGAGTCGCCGAATACTTGTTCGTGCAACACATCACCCCTCATGCGGCCACAGGGAGGAGTCCTGCTGAACTGCTTATGGGCCGCCGCCTCAGGTCACCGCTCGACCGGCTACACCCAGACTTTGCCGTGGCTGAACCCCCAGGCTGTGCCAACGCACCACGGTCATTTGTCCCAGGAAACCAGGTCTTTGCCCGGAACTATGTGGGGGACATCCCTTGGGTGCCAGCCACAGTAGTGGGAGTCACTGGACCTCGCTCGTACCAGGTGGCACTCGAAGACGGACGCTTGTGGCGACGGCACATAGACCAGCTTAGGCGCAGGGTTGGGGACTTGGACACTACCGAGGTGCCCCCAACTGCGCTTGCGGCTCCAGAAGAGACACGTACAGATGGCGAGGCCCCACCTACACCTCCCTCGCAAACTGCCAGCGTGGAGCCGAACCAAGCCGTTTCAGAACAGACTCAGACCACTCCACTTGCGGAGGCTGCACCCACAGCAGCAGATCCAGGGGAGTTGGTTCCAACGCCACCTAGGGTTGCACCACAGCCTCAGCAAGAACTGTGTGGCCCTCCGGACTTGGCTACCAGTCCCCGGCGGTCTGGCAGAGTTTCCAAGCGCCCAACTTATTTAAAGGACTATGTTGTTGGACAGGTATCACTGTTGGTCTAAGTATGGGAAATGTAACCGATATGCTTTTGTGCTTAATGGAACCATTACGCGTAGTGCTGTATATAAGGAAACCATTACGATTGTAACTAACGCCTTATCTCGGTGGGGAGGGGTGTTATGTAGTGTAGTTTCACCCTGGGCCAACAGGGGGATACTGTATATAGTTTTCACTCAGGTCTGTAGATAGTTTTCACTCAGGTCCGCGGCAGTTATTTTAGGCGGGAACTCTGGGCTGTTGTGGTTACAATGTTGACAGCCGGCTGCCTATAAATACAGGCCGGCTGAGCTGTTTGCAGTCAGTTCTATTCCAGCTTACCAGAATAAAGAGCTACTTGAAGAAATCGCTGTGCCGGCTGCTATGTCAACCCACGACCTAACAAAAGTGGTGTGCTCTCACACAGGAGAATGCCTCTTCTGAGATAGCACCAACTGTGCCACATGTATGTATAATTTAAAAACAAATAATGCTTTTTGTCACTCACAGCTATTCTTTTAATCAAATGCAGATTTAATTGATAGAATCAACTGAGATTTCATTACTCTATAGTGACAGACTTAATACTAATCGATACATCTACTGCCACACTATACAGGATGAAATGCTGTCTACATGTCCAACAAGTAGGGGGGTTGGGGGGGTGTCAGTCGATTCAGCTGGGTTACCTAGGAACAGCAAACAAGGATTCCCCTAGGTTCGGCGCAGTGCACAAGAGTCGGCTGGGAGAGCCAGGGCTAAAACAAGCCAACTGAGCATCAAGTTCCCACTCTCTCTTCTTAAAGACGCACAAAGAATCTTGCAAGTTAGTGGGACAGGAATCTTCGGAGAATGGGGTGCACAGACCTCGACCCGCTTCATCGGAAAGAAAAGAGAGGCAAGCCTAAAACTAGGGAAAGGGCACAGAGACGCCGCTGGATCAAAATAAAGACCGTGGCTTTACAGAGAACCAGGCTCAGGGGGTGGAGAAAAGCAGAAAGGGGCGGAATTGCCAACAACGGGACCGAGGGATCCCAATAGTTTTGCCCGGAGATCAGCTCTCCAGAAAGGGCGGGTGCGAGGGAGAGAGAGAGGGAGGGAGTCCCCGGGAGGCAGCCAAGGGGCAGGAAAACACAAGCCGCTCCTTCAAGAGGAAACGCGCCTTGCAATGTGGATGAGAGAGAGAGGCGACCGCCCGTGCGCACCCCACCCTTCCCCGCGCGGGCCTTTCTTCCAAGGAATCGGCTCTGTCCCCTCCGACGTTGCTCATGGCAAGAATGCCAGACTCTGCGGGGCAGCCCGCGGAGACAATGAACCCAAGGCGGGCGAGGGAAACCAGTGTGTGGCGGGGGGCACCCAGGCAAGGAGGAAGACCACGACAGCTTTTGTACTGTGCTTTTATTTGTTGCCGCTCTTGAAGGCCAAGCGGAGCCTCAGCAGTTTCTCGCCAGCCGAACTACCAAACTTGGCCGGGAAGTTCGCAGCGCCCGGCAAGGAGAAGCGCAACAAGCGGGAAGAGCCCAGGGGAAAAGCCCGAGGAGGAGGAGGACGGAGAAAGAGAAAACGCTCACCCACGCCGTATTTCTCCTCCCGCTTGGTGGGCACCCAGCGCGTCATGGCGCACGGGAGCCCGAGCCTGCCCGCCGTCGGGGGAAGCCGGCGCACGAAGGCAGGGATGCGCCCAGCGGCGAGTCTAGCGAGCCGCCATTTTCCAGCCTTGGCCGCGGCCGCAACGGGACAAGGAGGAGGAGGAGGAAAAAGTTTGCAGGCGAGGGAGAAGTCATGTGGTACAGGCGGAGTCAGGGGGTTGGAGGCCCTCCCCGTCCCTGGCCGGTAGGAAACCCAGGCTTGGCTTCACTCGACTTCCTCCGGCGGCCGCCTCCGAAGCGAGCCCGCGCATACGGCGCCCCGCGCCTAAGTTTAGCCCGAAGTCAGTCCCACTGAGCTCAGCAAAGGAACTTGACTCATATGCAAGCGGACGTGGGTGAGTTTACATAATTGGCAGTGGCGCCGCTTCCAGTAAAACTAAAAACAAAACCCGACCAATAAAGTATTTACTGTACAAGGAGTTTATCTGGAAAGGCGGGATTTTAGACAGTTTTGCCGTTTTTCACTCCTAATCCGGGTAATGCTGTCCAACACGTGCTCTGGCATCATTGGCTCAACGTAGAGCTTTGCTTCTGAGGAAAAGTGTTTTGACCCTTAAGAGACTTGCAACTGCAGCTGTCAAGGTTCTAGCCCTTAGGGAGGAGAGACCACGAGCAGGCATATCTACAAGTTGCCTCCCGCCACCTCCTGTCAATGCACCCAACACCCCGCTCCCCGACATTTACCGAGGGAAAGACTGATGAGCGGGCACTGTTGGGTACTGCTGCCCAATGGCACTCTTGAGTCACCGCATCCAACATTGGCTCCAGCTGGCCTCGCCCCTAGGCTGTGAGGAGAATGTGCACAGTTGACACTGCTTCCGAAAGCACCCAGTGTCTTCACGGGAAGTCAGGGGAGGAGCATGCACTGTTGGTCAGTACTGCCTGAAAGCAGGATCCACAGGATACATCAGCAACCAAATCTTCCCTCCCACAACAAAGGCAAGGAAGGGGAAGGGATTATGTTGTGTGGCTAAAACTGTTCAGCCACACAGCTGCAAAACTATCATCGACCCTTCCTCCCAACTTCAGAGCTGGCCAGAGATCACACTGCAGCTGGTTAAGTTAACTGAATTTATGTATTGTTTCCAGCAACAAGTCCCAAAGCAACTTACAACAGTAAATATACATAAGCATATCGAAAACAGTAAAATCATTTAGTCACTGGTGCTGCCCAAATGCCGCGGAAAACAACATCATTGCATGATGCTGAAACAATGACAAAGTTGTTGTCTGGTGGGCCGCTATGGGGAGAGCATTCCATAAATGGAATGGGGGCTGTTACATAGAAGGCCTTTTCTCTAGTCACCACCCTCCAGGCCTCACTTGGAGGTGGCACTATCTCAGGGTGTGTGGGCAGCTTCCTATGGGGTAGCTTTAGCTATAGGGGTCCTGAGCCATATAAGGCTTTAAAGGACAAAACCAGAACTTTTAATTGGACCCCAAAACAAATTGGGAGCTAGTGCAGTGGGGCCAGAACCAGGGTTATATGTCCATAGGGTTGGGCGATACCTGATTTTCAACATCACAATATATTACCAGCTAAATATCATGATATATATCTGTGGCAGCAGAGGGCCTTGCCATACCTCCCCACGGCAGCAGAAGGTGTGCCATGCTTCCTTACAGCAGCAGAGCTGTAGCTGGTTGGTTCTTAACCGGTCCATCCCTGAGGCCAGGCACAAAGCTTCAGAATTGGAAATACCATATTTTTCGCTCCATAAGACACTTTTTTCTTCCTAAAAAGTAAGAGGAAATGTCTGTGCGTCTTATGGAGCGAATGCATGCTCTCTGGAGCCGAATTGCCCAGGGGCAGAAAGCAGATCATGCTTCTTTTTTTATGAAAGAGGGAAGTGGGTGTTGAAACAAAGCCACTTATTGCAAGCAATCGGAAGTGAGATAAGGGACGCTAGCAATAAAGGAGGCTGACTGGGAGGGGGGGAGGTAAAGACAGCAAACTTGCAAGAAGAGGAGACAGGAAGACTAAAGCAACGGGGAGAGAAATTAGAAGAAAAGGAGGAGCAAAAAACTGCTCCAGCTAAGGAAAAGACACTAAGGCAAACAAGAGGGAAGGGAGTGTTGAAAGGAAGCAGCTGATCAGTGGGATCGGGAGAGAGATAAGGAAGGCTAGCGATAAAGGAGGCTGCCTGGGAGGGGGGAGGTAAAACCCCATGGATCCTCAGGATTTTTACATTGGATCACCCCAAATTCACCATCAGATCACACAGCATGTCCATGGCTACAGCCTGCACCAAAAAAATCACGCACCCACTGTTTCCTGGAGCTGCAATGAAGCAAAAATGTGGTTACAAAGCATGGATCCACATGGATCCTCAGGATTTTTGCACTGGGCTACCCCAAACTCACCATCAAATCACATGTCTGTGGCTACAGCATGAACCACAAAAATCATACATCCACTGTTTTGTTCAGAATATTTTTTTTCTTGTTTTCCTCCTCTAAAAACTAGGTGCGTCTTATGGTCAGGTGCTTCTTATGGAGTGAAAAATACGGAAAGTGATGCCAGTTGTCATGTTTGCCAAAGGTCAGCAGCAGCAGTATACCATGGCAAGTATATTTCTTCCTTTCCAAGAATTTCTGCTGCTGTCTTCCCAATGTAGCTATATAGCAGTCTTCAACATTTTCTGACCCAGAACCCACATTAAACTGTACTCTGTAATATAGTAGAGCTATACAGCGAATATGTGGAAGAAAGGTATACTCCTTCTTGCAAAAACTAAAAGAGGAAAGAAAATATCCTGAGGAACACATAACATTTTCTAGGAAATAAAGCTATTTTTATAGCACCTTTGGATACAAGTCCTTTCTTGTATTGGCACTGGTTTGTTGCAGTCCTAAGGCCTGGCAGATTATAAATGAGACTGGAGTTCCATCACTACTGCAGAAGAAACAGAAGGGAAATATGGAGCCATTTGCCAAATGCCAATCTGACCTTTTCCTTAACTAAAACAAAGACTTGAAAAGTAAAACTGCAAGAATAAATTCTAGGGAGTGGGGTGGAGAGGCATAAGCGCCTTGTTGTCAAAGGGCTTTGAAAGCGGAAGCTTGAGCCACGCTACAGTTTTTCAGTTATTTGTAGAGTTCACAGCTATATCATATTATTTACAATACTGTAAATCATATTGAGACTACTTCGAGCAGCAGGCAGTATTGTCAGCTGAGCAGGGTGGAGTCACATTGCTTACCTGACTTCCCAGTACAGAGGTCACTGCTGGTTAGGCGGTGGGGAAATTGGCATGGTGTACGTGCAGCAGTAGTAGCCCTGGATTGGCTCCACTGCTGCCCCCTGACCCTCTCCCTTTCAGTTACTGGGAGCAACTTGTGTGTTGAGAAGCCATGTAAACAACGCTACTCTGCCCTCCTGATCACTGCTAGTAACAGGCACCTGAAATGCCCTGCAGATCCGAAGGAGAGCTCACAGGAGTTCCGATACGCAGGAATTCCAAAGAAAGGTGCCCAAACCGCCAGAGTGGTCAGGTCTAACAATTTATTAAAGAAAGGTACAAACTTACAGCAAAGGTCTAATGGCTCCCTTCTTGCCCCTGCTCACAGCCTATCGTGGGTCAGACACCACAACAAAGAACTGGCTTGTCCACACCTAAGTAAAGATACACACATTCTTTATAGGCCCAGGCAGACCACATCACATGGGAACACAGGGGGCTGGTATTAACCATTACCTCCCACTCTAGCTATGCTTGGGACCTGTGGATACATCAAAGCATGTGAAACACATATGAGCTCAGTGCTACCTATTAGGCAGAGGTCATCTTGACCATCAATATGCTGCAAGCAGGGCTTTCAGAAGAGCTCACCTTTTCGGGTCAATACAGCACCTAACAAGTTAAATATATAATGATGCTGAAGCTGAAGCTAGAATCTTTTAATTACATCTCAGTTTTCATATAAATTTTGGGTTCAGTTCAACAATCAGTTATTAGATACAGGAAAACAGGCGTGATGGAGTCTGATAATGCAATTATCGCCAAATGCAAGCCTTACGTTATTCTTTCTATACCTCTTATTTTTCCTTGGTGTCCTGATTCCTGTATGACAACGGTATTCAGGTCTCTCCCAGTGCTTTATCACATTATATTACGGTATATCTGCCAAAGAACAGACTAAGATTCCTACTACTGTTAATAAATGAACCTTTGAATTCAAAGACCATTGTGATGTGCTGACTTGATCTACGCATCGGTATTTTTGCCTTGGGGTTGGGAGATCAAAAGTCTTTTATCCTCAGTCTTCATGGCTCGTCATCTACTGTATTTAAGTGATTTCAGTCCTTAAAAGACAACTTGTAGATGAGAACAGAAACTTTGATCTAAAGTGTTCATCTTTCATTTTCTCTAATTTTTTAAAACTCTTGAAAATGAAACAAGTGCTCAAATCACCAGTGTGAAAGGGAAAATTGAAAGCTTTTCTATTGTGACTTCTAGGAACCTGAAGTTAAGCAGAATTGGCATTTACCTAAGCAGTTAACTGGCAGCCACAGACTTTTTTCTTTATCTCAGAAGATTCTCAAAGCAACCAACAACTTGTAGGACCATACTCATCTGTACTGTACTGCCCTTTGTACTTTCCAAGTGTCCTAACCTCTGGTGTCTGACTTCGCCTCTTTGAGGAAGAAGGCAGTGGACATGGAGAAAGAATCAAAGGGTAAGAGGGCCCAGAGCTGGTCACAGTGGTCCCTGCTAGACCAGAAGCTCCAGTACTGTACAGTAGGAGGACATGTGACCAACACCTTTCCATCCTGAAATGGCCCACCCACGATGGCTGTGTTTTACCTTCTCTTGGAGGCAGTACAGTCTTCACACTGCTGCTATATAGAGGCATACTCAGAGGTTCTGATTGTAGGCTTCTCAGAGGCATCTGGTTGGCCACTGGGAGAACAGGATACTGGAGTAGGTGGGCCTTCTTTGGTCTGGCCCAGCAGGGTCTTCTTATGAGGAAGTTCACTTACTGGCAGGTGTGGGTAGAGCTAACAACCTATACTCACTTGCTTAGCTCTTTCTGCATCCTGAGCTTTATATCGAACTACGTGTCTAGAACACTCTGCTCGCTTTGTCTACTAGAGCTATCACCTGGAGCAGAATACACAAGTCATCTTGCAGTGATGATAAGAAATCCAGGAAGGTAAGGAGAAATAAACCAACAGACTTCAGAACTCATAAGTCATATGAGGGCAATGGTTTCCACTAGCTTCTGACTAACTCTTCCTCATATTGTTTTTACTTCTCACTTTCCTGGATTCTTATTATCACTCCTTAGATATCATTTGTTCTTCACTCTTCATGACTTCTGAGTTCTGCTCCTTTCATAGTGCAGCATCAGTGACAAGCAGGCCAAAACACCCCAACTTCTGCCATTCATCTTGCATACCCCAAAAAAACAATTTCATGCTTTTCACTCAAGAAAGAGGCATAAAGGCAATTGTGGGGCTTTTCTTGTATTCAGGTGTTTGTTCGGCTCTGTGGATAACATTATTCTGTTCACATTTTTTAAACTACTGATACCAATCCTGACTCTAAATACACTATTTCATTATGTCCTCTGTCATCAGTAACAACTGAATCAAATAAACTCTTATAAAACTCACATTGATGTGTGGTTAATTTCTGCATCAAAACCCATGAACAGAAAATTGCTAGTATTGTGGCAAAGTTCCATTTCCCTCCCCCCCCCATTGTCATTGCCTTTATTTTTCTAAATAAATCAAAGTCACATGGAAATGCAAACACACTTGTTTCTGTGGCTCAGTGGTCTTAGGTATAGTGGTACCTCAGGTTAAGTACTTAATTCGTTCCGGAGGGCCGTACTTAACCTGAAACTGTTCTTAACCTGAAGCACCACTTTAGCTAATGGGGCCTTCCGCTGCTGCCACGCCGCCGGAGCACGATTTCTGTTCTCATCCTGAAGCAAAGTTCTTAACCCAAGGTACTATTTCTGGGTTAGTGGAGTCTGTAACCTGAAGCGTACGTAACCCGAGGTACCACTGTATTCTCATGACACCAATCAGCCTGAGGAAATCTGAAATATACTGTATAGATAACTAGGATAGGACTGCCATATGTCTGGATTTTCCCGGACATTACCAGAATTTTAAAGGCGGAATTGACATCTGGAAATTCTGAAAGGCGGTACTTTGTCCTGGATCTTAGAGAAGTCAACCAAAAAAAAAATCACGGTTTCAGAATCACGTCAGCAACTTTGGAGTTTGTCTAAAAAAATCTCAACAACTTTTGGGTTTTCCTAAAAAAAATATGGCAACCCTAAACTAGGAACTCTGAAAAATGAGGCTGGAGCTAAGTGGTGAACAGTGTGCCCCAGAATTAGCACAGAATTTAAATATTATATTCTGAGTCCACAAATTTTCACGCAGCACTTTCTACCATCCATGGGCACTGAATAAAAGAGCATCTGTAAGGGAGGGGGACTTTGCAGTTTGACATTACTTTGAAACTGAAAGAATAAAAGCTTCCTTAGACTCCAGCAGTCAAGAAAGATTAGGTAACCTTGGGAAACCAATAATATATATTTTTCCCCTTCAGACTGTGAAATATATTAGTAGATTTTACACAGTGCATTTCTACAAGTAATGTCATTTGCATTATTCTGTTCCACTGCTGGGTAACAACTAGAACAAGATTAAAATAATTTATTCTAATCATACAAACTTCAAAAAAGAACTGAAAAGCAGGCCTGTCTATAGTATCTGCATATTGTATCTCTGCCTCATTTGTTTGGAATTACAAGCCATTTATTAATGTGCTACATGAAATTAAGGGTCATCTCTCTAGAGCTACATAACATCATTTTAAATATTAAATTAAATCCACCCCCACTACTTGCCACCATCAGTATTTGAAATGCCTGGTCATGCAATTGGAAATATATTTGTAATGGGGTGAACTGAAACAGAGTGTCAATCTGACTTGAAAAATCTTTGTAATAAACACAGGAGAGATGCCATATGAATGTTGGGAAATAATCAAGTTATTTTGTTGTAATAAGCAGAACTATACAAAATACACACTTTTAACTGTCTGATCCAACTCTCCTGTGCCTAATAATTTGCTTTTCCAATTATTTTCAGCTTGGATTTGATACATGGAGAGATCAAGTGTGCTGTGAAACCATAAATTACGTTCTGCTGGAGAACATATGAAGAGCCCTACTGGATCAGATCAAAGACCATCCTGTTCTCACTATGGCCAACTAGTTGCCTTTGGGAAGCCTGCAAGCAAGAACATGAGCACAACAGCATTTATCCACTGCTGTTTTTCAACAAATGGTATTCAGAGGCATGCTGGAAGGAGTTCATAGCTCTCTTGACTAGTAGCCTTTGACAGCCTTATCCTCAATGACGTGTCCAATCCCTTTTTAAAGACTTCTGAGTTTGTAGCCATCACTACACCTTGTGTAAGTGAATACTGTAGTTTAATTATGTACTGAGTGAAGCCATACCTCCTTCTGAATCTTGCCACCTTTGGTTTCATGGCTGACCCCTGGTTCTGGAATTATGAGAGAGGAAGAAAAGCTTCTCACACTCCACTTTCTCTGTGCCAGGCATAATCTAATACACCTTTTGTCACGTATACAATCTTACATGTAATCCTTCCTTCAATAAAATATTTTTTAAAATTTCCATCTCATCCAGCATACATTCTACCAATCCCACTTCACTTGGTAAGGTCAAGACTCTGGACTGGGTGCTATGAAGCCAGGGTCTTTGTGCAGTTCTTAATCTCTTTCACTGCAAACCTAATTATAATTACCTGGAAATTGTCTTAAATTAATGGGACTGACTTCTGAATGTATGGAAAAGAAACTCATAAACAGACCTGGTGATCATAGCGTGAGATTCTTTAATGCAGAATGTGTGGGAAAAGGTGATGTTATCAAGAATTAAGTATCGCTCCACTTTTCTGTTTACATATAAATAGGCTCTGGGATTTAAAAAAGGAATCTGTTCATTGAATTAAAAGAGAGTGAGTTAAGGCACATACAAATTCACTCATGCACCCAAAAGCATGGAAATTATAAGTCAATGTCATATATATATATATAATTGTTTTTCATAAAACATGAAAACAGACTGACAGAAGGGAACGTGTTCAAAATGTAATGTCCCTCTCAAAGGTCATTACTCATTACAACCCAGATAATGACAAACTAGAGCAGTGCAGGCACAAGATGAAAATATAAATTATGTCTCTGAACCATAGTTTGCACTTTACATTCCTGAAGCACTATACCAATATTAACTATTATCTTCAAAGAACCCTTGAGAGATAATAGTACATGTATCTGTATTTGTGACTGAAATACAACAGAGTGAAAACCAACTATTCCAGAAATGGAAGGAGCCTACATACTGAAGGACCCCTTGCTAGTCTTTGTTCAGAGTAGTTAACAAAGTCCTTACAAACCACCCTTTTGAAAAATGTAGGAAGATTATTATGAAAAATGTAGGAAGATACTACAGTGGTACCTCGGGTCAGTGGCGTAGCGTGGGGGGTGCAGGGGGGGCCGGGCGCACCGGGCGCAACATCTGGGGTTAGGGCAAATCCATGGGTTAGGGGGCGCAAATCCACGGGTTAGGGGGCGCAAATTACTTGCCTTCCCCCGGGTGCTGACAACCCACGCTACGCCACTGCCTCGGGTTACATACGCTTCAGGTTGCAGACTCCGCTAACCCAGAAATAGTACCTCTGGTTAAGAACTTTGCTTCAGGATGAGAACAGAAATCATGCTCCAGCGGTGCGGCAGCAGCAGGAGGCCCCATTAGTTAAAGTGGTGCTTCAGGTTAAGAACAGTTTCAGGTTAAGAATGGACCTCCGGAACGAATTAAGTATTTAACCCGAGGTACCACTGTATAGGTATGTGGATCTTATATTCAAAGCATACTCACAATCCAACAATGGGGCAAGTCCTATCATTTTAAGCATGGAAGTGAATATATAGGATAACATAGTATATTATAGTATATAATAACATTGCATTTAATAATATATGATAACATAGTATATAATATAAATAAATATAGCACACACATACACATGTTTTAATGCTTGGATCACAGTACGTAGTTTTTATGTTTGAACATACTTTTATGCAACCAGTGAGATTGTTATCCATGCCACCCATTACCACAATGCTGCCACAATTTCCTCTCAAGATACTGTACCTTTCAGCGTTTTGTTTGTTTGTTTTGTTTTGTTTTGTTTTTGGTATATTTTGTATTTCATTAAGGCAGGCTGGGTGATTTAAATCTAAGACCAGAGGATAGTTACCGACTGCCATCAGGAAGAAGAGCTTCTGACACAACTCTTAGGCACTGAAATTTGGTCCTGATGTTGTGGAAGCAGAAGAAGATTAAGGCAAGGGGTAGCCAACATCTGTACAGTGGTACCTCAGGTTAGCTAATAGTCACTAATAGTCACTTTAGCTAATAGTCACATGAAAATGCAAACACACTTGTTTCTGTGGCTCAGTGGTCTTAGGTATAGTGGTACCTCAGGTTAAGTACTTAATTCGTTCCGGAGGTCCGTACTTAACCTGAAACTGTTCTTAACCTGAAGCACCACTTTAGCTAATGGGGCCTTCCGCTGCTGCCACGCCGCCGGAGCACGATTTCTGTTCTCATCTTGAAGCAAAGTTCTTAACCCAAGGTACTATTTCTGGGTTAGCAGAGTCTGTAACCTGAAGCAATTGTAACCCGAAGCGTATGTAACCCGAGGTACCACTGTATTCTCAAAAGATACTTTGTTCTCCTATAAATTGTCTAGGGTCCAGTAGTGTGATTTTATATTCAACTTGATCTCTTTGTTGCTGATCAAACTCTACAATAAAGGTAGAGTAGGTTAGCGGTAAGAATATAGTAGTTATAGAACATGTTTGCTCATGCATGGACAGGTTGTAACAAAACGAGAAAGGTGAAACAGCTGAATGAGTACTGTCTCTTCATCGGTAAATAAATTTAGGCAAGGACAATACTTAAATAGCATGGTCATGTAGCAGGGCAGATCCTAACATTCCAACATGCAGATGCTGTGAACCAAGCCACATGAGATCCCAGTTAAGAGACTTTTTACCTGGTGGAGGGGAGATGCTCACATCACTTCTTTGGCACAATATTTTCGAACATGTGCACTAGGGCTTAGTTTCACTGGTATATCCATGGTTTCACAGGCCACTTAGAGCCCTCAGTCTACCAATTGTTCGTTTTTGCTGTACATTTCAACATGTGCAGCTTTTATCATATCAGCTTTTTACTTGGGACAGCTGATCAGATGCCATTTTAGAACTGTGATTTGCAACCATGAGTTTGTCGACACAAATTCCCAAATGATACTTCAAACTGTGCACAGATCATAATTTGATCGGTGCCATATGGATACTAACACTTTTATGCTTTCTGAGAAGAAAATGGACCTATCAATCCCAGCCTACTTGCAAGAAACTAAGCTAAAGATGTTGTATTCAGGTGTTTTATTTTGTTTTAAAGTATTGTTTGGACAAGTTTCTATGAGAGTGCATGCATTTCCAACCTGTGGAATTATGGTCAGTATTTACACAGACCTAAGACTTGTACTGTTACATTTTATTGTGACCCAAATTGGTACACTGTTTACACATCTATAAAGACAGTCTGCAACCTTAAACATACCAGGGAATAATCCTATTGAGCCTAGTAGGATTTACTTCTAAATAAACATGCATAGGACTGTCTTTTCCATAATTGCACCAGATTGGCAATGAGGCTTATCTGGCAGCCTCTAAGTGTGCACCATATGGCAAAAAGCCTTTTTGTTTAGGCAAACTTTTGCCTTATCAGGCAGATAATATTTTTGTCTGATGCCTCTGTTTCATCTGCTGCACCTGTCTTTGTATATTATTATTATTATTATATTGTATTTTGAAATATAATTTTTATTACTGTATTTAAAATTGGTTTTAGCTGTTTTTAGCTGTCCCATGTTTGCTGTTGTGCATAAGCAGTAGAAAGGTAGATAAAAATCCTTGGATAAAATAAATGAATAAAAGCAAATGCCAAAATCCCTAACCAGCACAATCCTTTGGCCACACATTCTATGTTTTCTGACTATCCTCTGAACCTTCACTTTGTTCCAGAGGTCAGCTATCCTTGACATTATTATGTCCAACTTTATAAAAGCATTCATTTGAACTTATCATTCAAAATCCCATTAAGAAAAGATCCTTCTAAAAACTGTTCGTGCGCCCATGTGTTTATATATATCAGTCTTCAGAGCAGACAAGCCAACACAAGGGCTGCCTTGTGAAATTGTAGTTTTGTCTTTAATAAGCCATTCACTGACAGGCAATTATTCACAAAGGTTGCTCAGTGCTATTTTTTTCTTCATGCTGTGCCTTCCTGTCCCTTGATTGTGGGAATGTGCTCCTGTGAATTATAATTATAAGCAAACATGATCTAGTATGTTTGAAATACTGTGCCCGAGCTTGTGCTCTTCCTCTATATTGATTCTGTTCATTATAAAGATAAAAGACTTCTGAAAGTAAAAGTTTGTCTCTGAAAGGAAATGCATTTGACATAAAGCTGCAGTTCTTGGTAAGACTTGCTGTATCGACTAAGGAATCACAATAGAGACCAAGTCTATTGAAGTCAATGAGATTCTCTTGCCAGTAAGGTTTTTGCATCAGGCACTTTAGCATGGAAGATTTTACAGCAAGCACAAAAGTCAATATAGGAATGGCATCGGCAAGACTAAGAAGACCATATGCTCCTCTAATGCCCTTTTCACATGATCTGTGGCCATGTATAACAAACACAGAGAGGGGAAGCAAAAGCATCGAGTTTGACCCCATGCAGTCCTCATCTCTGTAAACACAGAGTCTATACACATATAAGATATATACATTTTGTCTTACTGACACAAGGGTCTCACAATAACAGCATACACTTTCTCTGCCAGTGCACAAACATTCAGAAGCGATCCTACCCAACCCAGCCAGTGTAACTAATAGTTAGGATCATCTACTTTCTGTCTCTTACTCATTGAACCTTGGGTTGTCCCTTAAGCAAAATTCATTGCGTGGCGAGTTAATTTTCCCGCTTCAGCAACAAACAGCTACCTACTAAAGAAACCTAAAGGGAACCAGGAAGACGATGGACTCCAAAACGTGGGGGCTAGCTGGCAAAAAGAGGGCGAGCCCCCTCTGCGCCGGCCCTAAATAGGGCAGGCCATGCCCCCCAGCCAGCTGATTGGCTGGCTGGGGGGGGGGGAGACGCGGCCGGGATTCCCCTGTTCTCGCGGGGGCTGAAACCAGCCCCCGCTCACATGGGGGTGGGCGTGAAGCCCGCAGCCCCACCTCCTGGGCAGGCCAGAAGTGGCTTTACGAAGCAACCTGAGTTCCTTTCTATGTGAGCCACAGTTCACCATGCCCGTCGGAATTAATTCTATGATAAAATGTGGCTATCATTAAGGCAGTGGAGAAACACACACACACACATATTGTGGCACATCAACCATTGACCAAGGCTGACAGCTTTAATTTAATTTGAATATTCTGGGTTCTTAGCTCTCCCTTTGGGCAAAATTTTTAATATGAGGCCCATTTGACCAAGGAACATTTCACATCATATGCCCAAGGTATTGCTCATGA